TGCATAATTCTTAAAATAACTTCAAATCTACCAAGGTTTATATAGATATAACATATCTTTGTGCGCAGAAAGTCCAAGTAGCGAGAGAGACATCCGAGTCAATATTTGAGTAGGTAACTGCACTTTACTACTAGCGGTTCCATATATATACAGGGATGCAAAATGCAAATATCTTCTTGCAAATTTTGCGCTAGTTATCACAAAAGCAAGTTCCATCGTATACGTCAAAAGCGAATCATCTCTGAATTTCAATTCTCGTAACACGCGTCACTGGTGGCCGCATTTTCTCATTGTTGCGCTTAACGATTTTTTTTTCTCTCTCCCATCACACCAAACCTCCCCTTGTTCGGGTGTTCAGTTTTTCCAGCATAAAGTCGGATCATTGTTGTCCACAACAAATATATCGTTTATTTACAACAACGTAAAAAAAATATAGTGGAGAAAAAAAAGCAGCCTGCTACACTCCATTCCGCGTTAAAAGCACAATTGTTGAAACTCTGACGTCAATGTCCGCATTCCTGAGCATTTCTCTCACATTTCAATTAGTTTTGTAAAAAAAATAAAAGAAAAAATGTAGTTGTTTGAAGTTTTTCCTCAATCCGGTTAAAAACTTTTGGAAATCCATTATGTTTGATGTTTTATTTCTGTTTAATTTCTGTTACTCCATTAGGGTTATTGTGTTTTATGGGTTTTTCTTTTATTTATTTTTCTGCTTTTATTTATATCGTTTTTTTTATTTTCTTTTTTCCATTTTTTTGTTTCATATTTTTTTTTGTTTTTATTTGTATTTTCTATTTTCTATTTTTATTCCTGTTCATTGTTATGTATTTTTCGTTTTGATTTGTACTGTTTTTCATTTTATTCTGAGCTTTACAATTTTTTTCTGTTGAATTTAATTTAGTCAGCGAAGAAATTTTCTTCTGAATGGTCAAAAGTTTTTCTAAAAAAATTTTTTTGCCGTTTCGAAATAATTTCTTATTAATTGTAATTTCTAAATTTTTTGTATTGTTTAAAATATGAAAATTACTCATTTTACGTAGGAATTGAAAATTTGTGTTATCAAATTTTTTATTTCTTATGAAGAAATAAACAAAATTTCCTCCGTTTTGAACATTCAGAACTTTAGAAACACAAAGAAAGAAAAAAAAAGGATAATTTATATATTTAAAACCCCTTAAACATAATTAAGTAAAAAGTTCCTAAGACGAGTGTAATTAACGTCATTTTGTGAGAGTTTCGTAAACATATATTATAATAATAATAACAATGCTTTTCCAAGTGTCAGTTTCAGTTGGACAAAAGTTTGCAATTTATTTGAAAGACGCAATTGTGCCTTGGGATCTTGGATTTAAATTTGAATTTATGTATACGTTATGTAGGAGGGAAATTTTTCGCGATTTATTTTCGAGGTATAGAGGTCGATGGGAAACTGAGCATTGGGAAAAGTCAGTGTTAAAGTTTTTTTCTCAGCGCGCAATGTGCGCGATCGGCATAGAAATTGATGTTATTACTCTTATTCATTCTTGCCATTTCTTGCAAAGCAATTTTACGCATTCAAAATTTATAATATTTTTATATATTGCCGCCGATTGCACATTTTTGAAAGGCGCGTTTATATATAACGTTCTCAATTTTACAGATAGGAAAACTATATACATAGACACAAGGGAAAAAAATCGATTCGAAAATCTTTTACTGTATTCTGTTAACACCAGTAATTTTTTTCTATAAATTGCGCAAATAGGGCGCGGAAAAAAAATTTCATGAAAATTAGTTGCTCTACTAACTGATTCAAGTGAGTTGATTTATATTTAATTTTTATTTATTCATTTATTTATTCAAGTAACAAATAAGTAAATAAATAAATAAGTAAATTAAGAAGCAAGTAAAAAAATGAATATGTAAGAAAATAAACAATTAAGAAAGTAAAGAAGAAATTAAAAAAATTAATAAGTAAATAAAGAAGGAAGTAAAAAAATAAGTAAGTAAATAAAGAAAAGAAACAAATAAATAAAGAAACAAATTAAAATTAGATTAAAAACAAAAAAAATATTTTGACGTGAGCAAAAATAAACTGCTGAGATTTACGATTGAAAATTTAATAAACTGGCTTTTATTCTTTTACAATAGAAGTATTATTATTACGAGATTTTCGTGTCAAGGAAAGAAAAATTTTTGCGGATAATCTTGTTCACGAATTCCTATCTAAACTTCCCTCTCGTCTTTTGTGGTTACAGCTCAACAACAACAACAACATCGCGCGTTTACACTTACACATTTTATGCGGTTGTAATAAAAATAAAAAAAAACCACTGTGTAAATTCCCTTCTGCGGATAAAACTTATCCTGTTAAGTTAATTCATTTTGTTATAAAATTTTTTTTTTCATCTTTTTTTATCCTTTTTTTATTTTTAAAATTGAGATAAACTAAATATTCTTTGTCTTGTTCCGAAGCACATTGGAGATATTTGCAATCTATACTTTTCGTCAGCACAGCTTTTTTTTTGACGAGTGCTTTTGGGTGACGAGTTAAAAAAATTTGATAGATAGGAAAATATAACTTTTTTCTCCATTTTTAAAAAAATTTTTGTTTTATGATATTTGTCGCTTGACTAGTGCTCGTAGAACCATTACTAAAAGTTGACTATTTTTTCTAATAATAAATAACGCGTTTTATCTGCTATATAAATTTGTTTTGTCTTCATTGCTGTCACGCGAATAATAATTCTATTTTCTTATAATTTGGAGAATTGTGGGCTCTCTTTAAAAAAAAATAATTCATGAAAAAGTTTTTATGATCTGTTGCTTCTTTCTAACGTAATTTTTCCCTTTTTTATAACAATTTATAGTTAAAACATTTTTATTAATTTTTTAATTAATTATTAACTTTTTTTCATTAATTAATTAATTTTTTTATTCATGAATTATTATTAATTTATTCACCTGACTCGGAATCCAAATTAAAAATTTTTTTATTTTCAAATATTAACTTCAATTTTTGAATAATTTCAAAGAAAAAAATTCACATTCCTAACTAATAAATTATTATTATTTATTATTTTCTAAATGTATTAATAAAATTAGTCAAAAGAATTGAATTATTTTCACAAGTTATAAAATTCTTGATTTAGGAATTTAATTATTTTTAAAAATTTGAATAAAATTCCATGAAAAAATTCTATAATTTAAAAAAATTTTGATGAAATTCTTTAGAAGAATCCAAATATAATTTCAATAAAATTTTAATTTAATTCCTTGAATGAATCTAATTTAATTTTCAAAAGTTTAATAAAATTCTACACCAGAATTAAATTAAGTACTTATTTTAGATTCGAAATTATAAAAGTTAAAAAAAATTAGGATAACATTTTTTTAAACGAAAATAGCATCTTTTACAATTATAATAAAAAATTTAAATAATTATTATTTAAAATTACATTTTCTATATTATTTTCTATGATATTATTTTTCATCAATAAATAATACAAAATAATTAATAAAGCAAATAAAAAACACGCTTTAAATAAACAATAAAAATATAATCGATTTCCTCCGCATACTTTTTGAACAAATTGGTCACGCGTCGAATACCTTTATCATCGCATTTCCTTCTTGTCAGTTTTATTGAAAATTGAATAGCCACGAGAAATATTGCAAAATATTTAAAGTATTTCACTTTTTTTCATACCATTTTTCATTATTGCCGTTTTAATTAATTATTTTTATCTTATTATTTTATTATTTCTTCTTTTTTCCTATAGGTACTTTTTATTGAAAACTTTCCCTAATCGCAAAATTTTTCTCATTATCGTATTTGAGAAACATTTTGCCGATAGTATCTAAATGAAGTAATTTTTGTTTAGTTAATAATAAAGTTAATCTTTATTATCGGCAAAGTTAAAAACTTTTCAACCATTTCTATTTCACGGCTATTAAATGAATAAAGTGTTATTTTTATCTCTTAAAAAAAAGAGGCTATTGTCTGTGTGTGTGTTATTATAAAACTTTCTATAATATCTTAATGTAGACGTTGATTAATTTTCTTGATATTTATTATGAATTTCTCTTGTGTATATAAATTCTAATTTATAAATTGTTTTTCTTCTTTTTGCAACTATTGCATTTTGATTTTTATCTGTATCCAATTTTTTTCCTCCTTTTTTTTCTCTACTCAGTTCATTTTCTTTCGGCTAATAGAGAGTATATCCCAGCGTCAATAAGGGAAGAAGCTTTATAACCTTTGAAAGCCCACTGCCGACTTTTTGATTACCCTTTGATAGATATCGTATTTTATCTTGGATGAGTAGTTTCATCTGTTTTCCAAAGTCATATGGGAGTTAATATTATAGCTTTTGGACAAACGATACATTAAATGCCCATTTTTAGAGCTTCCAACAATTTTATTGCTCTAAACATTTTTCTAGACTTTGCCACAAAAATTTGATTTTGTTTTTCCCTGACTTTTTCTTGCTTTTCAGATATAATTTTGATTTTATCTCTGACATTAAAAAAATATTCTGATTCACTCTAAAAATTATTAGATACACAAAAAATATTTTTAATTGTAAAATTATTTTTTTAAACATTAATATTTTTTTGAGTAAATATTTAATCATGTTATTATTTTTTTCCAATAGGAAATTAAATTAAATTTTTTCCATAGGATTTAGGATTTTAAAAAAATGTCAAACTTTTTTGAAAATATCCTCATTTTGAAAATAAAATCGCGTTAAATTGAAAAATATTTAATATACGTTTGAATCTCTCTCAGGAGAGAATTAATGTTTCCAAGTTTGGACTTTCTGATGCTGCGGGTAATATTTCTAAGGGTATACTCGAGTGACTACTGGTATCCTTTGATCGTAAAACCGTGACTAAGAAAGACAGGAAGGATATGCCAAAAGGAGGAAAGCAAAGTGTGGGTGGATTTGGTTTAGATGTTAAGATCTTAGAGACTGGTTACACTGTTGCCCAGGGGTTATAAAGAGACATTGGCTTACCTGAGGAGAAACTCCAAGCATCTTAAGGGATGGAGGAACGTTGAGACTCTGTGGAATTTGCACGTGACCAAAATCAACAGCAAAAGCCTCACACCAAACGCCAAAATGTCCAAGTTGATGCACCGTTAAATCTCCCGGTAAAGTTAAAACAACCGTTTTATGATCGTAACGACGTAATGGCTGTATTTTTCCATTTTCATCTGGCACTTTAATTCCTTGAGGCGATGGATGTGGTCCAGCTCCAGTCCAGAATTTCGCATCTATCGTTAAAAAAAATATTCAATTATTTCAAATAAAATTTCTCAAAACAATTCAATTGATTTTAAACATTACAATAAAACTTACTAGCAAACAATTCCATTTATTATTATTTTGTAAATTAAAAAATTTAAATTAATTTTAATTAACTTTCTCGACAAAATACAATTATTCTTAAATTCGATTATTTTCCAGAATTTTAATATAAATTCAATTATTTCAGACAATTTTGATGAAATTCTTTTAAAAAAATAATTAATTTCAAAATTTTTAATAAAAGTCCTTCAAAAATTTAGATAAAATTATTCGAAACAATTTAATTATTTTTACGAATTGTTAAATCATCCGCAAGAGTTCAATTATTTTCATAATTATAAGAAAATTCTTCGGAAGAATGAAAATATTTTCATAAATAATAAAATTCTTCACAGGAATTCAATTATTTTCATAAATAATAAAATGTTTTGAAGGAATTAAATTATTTTCAATACAATTTTAATAAATTTTCTCGAAAGAATACAATTATTTTTAAAAATATTATTTACATTCAATTATTCTCAAGAGTTTTAATAAAAATTCAATTATTTTCAACAATTCTGATAAAATTCTTCGAAATAATTCAATTATTTTTATAAATTGTAAAATTCTTAGCAAAAAATCAATTATTCTTGTAAATAATAAAATTCTTCTGAAAAATTCAATTATTTTCAACAATTCTGATAAAATTCCTGAAAACAATTTAATTATTTTTAAAAATTGTAAAATTCTTGGCAAGAATTCAATTATTTTTAAAAAATGTAAAATTATTGTCAAGAATTCAATTATTCTTAAAATTTGTAATAAAATTTGTCTATACAATTGAATTGTTCTCAAAAGTTTTTAAAAAAATTCTTTGTAAATTTCAATTATTTTCAAAATTTTCAATTAAAATTATTTTCAAAAATTCCATTATTTTTACGAAATTTAATGAAATTTAAAAAAAAAAATTTAAGTATTTACATAAACTCTAATACAATTGTTTAAAAGAATTTAATTTTCTATGAATAATTTTAATATAATTTAATAGGAAAATTATTAATTACAATTAATAATAAACACGATTATTTTAATGTAACTTAAAAGGGAATCTTCATAAAGTTCAATTACTTTCAAAATTTCCAGTAAAAATTATTAAAAAAAACTTCATTATTTTCAAGAAAATTGGAATAAATTCTTTAAAATAATTCAACTATTTTAAAAAATTTTAATAAAAATTCAATGATTTTCGACCATTTTTATGAAATTCTTTTAAAAAAAATAATTAATTTCAAAATTTTTAATCCTTCAAAAATTCAGATAAAATTAAATTCGAAACAATTCAATTTTTTTTATGAATTGTAAAATCCTCCACAAGAGTTTAATTATTTTCATAAATAAGAAAATTCTTGGCAAGAAGAATTATTCAATTATTTTCAATTATTGTATTAATTCAATATTCAATTATTTTCAAGAGTTTTAATAAAAATTCAATTATTTTCAACAATTCTGATAAAATTCTTCGAAACAATTCAATTATTTTTATAAATTGTAAAATTCTTGGCAAGAATTCAATTATTTTTGCAAATAATAAAATTCTTCTGAGAAATTAAATTATTTTCAATACAATTTTAATTATACATTTTCTCGATAGAATTCAATTATTGAAAAAAATATTCTAAAAATTTCTCTGCGAGAATTCAATTATTTCCAAAAATTAGTTATTTCTTCGTAGGAATTTAATTATTTACAAAAATTTTAATAAAAATTTTCTTTAAAGAATTAAATTATTTCAGATTTAAAATTATAAAAGTTACAAAAATTATAACGCTTTTTTAAACAAAAATATTATCTCTTAAATTTAAAATTCTTATTCTCTATAGATCTGAATTAGTACCTAAAAATTTTCAAACTACTAATTAGAAAAAAATTGATATGAAATTTTTAAAAATTAATTTTTCAGAAATAAATAAATAATTTTAAATTTATTCTAACCTGGAGCTTCGCCATCATAACTGAAACTTGGAATTAGAAGAGTTTGAGCATCAACAATTACGACAGGTTCGGAACTAACCCCATGGATACCACTTAAACTTCCTAATTTTTGTGGCTTTGGATAATCAAAACTGCGAGGAATTTTGATATCACCGAAATTTACCTACAAATAAAAAACGAATAAATAAAAAGTACGGAAAATATTATTAACCTTTTTTAAAATAAAACTTTTAATTTTAATAATAAGTAATTTTCAAATACTATTTAATTGACATAAATTAAAATTGATAGCTACAGATAATAAAAAAAACATATTTGCTAATAAACTAATCGTAATAAAATCGTAAAAATAAACTCATTTATTGAAATCAAATAAATCTTTTTTAGTCTAAAATAAAAAGATTCCAATAATAAAAAATTAAAAATCAAATTTAAAAATTATTTTTTCTCCTAAAATTACATATATACCTATATTTGATTGTAAACACTTGGAGGTAAAAAAATAAAATTGTTTCACAAAGGAAAAGATAATAAAAAATCTTGTCACTAGGAAAATTTGCGTCTACTTACTGCGAATTCGTCACAATATACAGAAAACCACTTGATGTTGTTCAAGGTCTTTCCTTCCGGAAGCGTTAAAGTGATGTCCTTATTTCTGTAGCGCTTTAGAACGTTAGTCCTGTTAACATAATTAACATTGCCAACATAGAGAAACGTTTGAGAACTCTCGCGCGTATTATTTCTGCTTTACACATTCGTCCAGAGGTGAAACCAGTCTACGTGTCGAGTTAATTAATGACTACTAAAGGACACACACGTGAGTGCCCAACTTTCTTTTATATATATTAAATACATATATATCACAAAACAAAAAGAAAAAATTAAATAAAAAAGTCATGTCACTTTTTTAAACACATTCTTTAATTTTCTTTTTTTTTAATACTAAAAACCCCTTCAACATTTTTATTTGTCTTTTATTAACAATTTTCAACATTTGAACAATGTGCTTTTATATGTATGCCCAGTGCGTTTGTCATTTTAATTAATTCACTAAAATATGTAACTCTTAATTAATTTCTTAATTTTCTGTCTATCTCTTTCTATCTTTCTCATCGCTTTGTAGTTAATTATATTAATTGAAAATGATTTATTTCACGTAATTACGAAATTTATATCAACGTGCTGAATAAACAAACGAGAGAATTTAAATTAATTAATTCAAGAGAGTGATAATTATTTTTGGAATATAACACAATTATTTTTATTAATTTCATTTCTTGACAAAAAACTTTTTTTTTGTTGAAAATCGAATTTTGTTTTTTATTATAAGTATATTAATTGTGGACAATAAAAATATATTTTTCGTATAATATTTTTTAATCTTTCTAAATAAAATCATTCTGTTCATAGTAGAAATTCTACCATTTTTTTTTTTATTTATTTCTAAATAATCAGAGTTTCCTTCAAAATCGTGATCAAAAAATAAGAAATTTTGCAAATTATAAAAAAATTATGTTTAATTACTTGAAATCTGTTTAGTTACATAATTTTCGAATTTTACAGAAAAAAATATAAAAACTTGCATAACTTCGATTTGCCAAACAAATTTTTTTAACAAAACTTTTTTTCTAGAAAAAAAATGAAAAAATTAAATTTCTCTTTTTTAATGACAATTTCTTAACAATTTCATACTTGGCCTGACAAAGCAAAAACATAAATAAATAAATAAATAAAATCATTTTTTGAAATTAATAAACATTTTTTGAAAATATTATGCAAATTTTTTTATTTATTTCTGAAAAACTGAAAGTTTTTGTTAAAAAAAATTGTGATTGAAAAATATAAATGGTACAAATTTATTTCCCTTTTCTTCTTTTTCAAAAAAAAAAAAAAAAATTGAAAAACAGGATTTTGTAGAAAGGTTGTAATTATGAAATAGATATTATGCAAATTTTTTTTATTCATTTCTAAAAAAAATTCTAATTTCGTTAGAAATTGTAATTAAAAATAGACAATTACAAAAATTTTTTTCCAAAAGAAACTTACAATTTTGTAACCAAAAAATACGGTTAATAAATGAACATTATAAGCATTTTTTTTATTTATTGTATAGAAATTTTTAAAAATTCTTCATTTTATTTTTAATTAAAAATTGTGATTGACAAAATCGAATTTGTAAAAGAAAATTTTCTTTCTTTCTAAAAGAAGTAGAATTTTGTTTAAAAATTGTAAATAAGAAACAAAAGTGATTCAAATATTAAAAAATTGTATTGAAAAATAGAAATGGTTCTAATTATTTCCTTAAAAATTAAATTAATACTTTTCAACAAAAATTGTGATTCAGAAATGTGAGAATTATGCGAATTGTTTTTTTTTTTAAAGAAACAAATACTTTTGTGAACAAAATTGTCATTGAGATAACTTTTTAATAATTTTCTAATATTTCTTCAAAAATAAAGAAAAGATACTTGTATAAAGATTTCTTTTTAAAAATCGATTTTCGTATCTGAAAATTTAACATAATTTATTTTTATTAATTCTATTCCTTGATAAAAAATTCTACTTTTATTGAAAATCGAATTTTATTTTTGAAAATTTAAGATAATTTATTTTTATTAATATTTCATTCCTTGGTAAAAAATTCTATTTTTTCTTGAAAGTCAAAATTTGTTTTTGAAATTTTAAGTAATAATCGATATGCAATAAAAATATTTTTCGTATATGATAGAGTGATAAATATTTTTGAAATTTAATACTATTTTTATTTATTTTATTTCTTGATAAAAAATTTTATATTTAATTATTGAAAATCATTTTATTTAAAAAAATTCAAATAATTATTGTATAAAATAAAAATATATTTTTTTTATATTATCAAAAACTACGAAAAAAAGGAAATATTTAATTAATTTTGAAAAATAAATGTAATTTTGTATTTTCTAAAAATAGGTTTAATTTCTGTTATTTCTTTCTATTTTTTACCATTTCTATTATATTATTAATACTTTAATAATGCGCATTGTTGAAGTAAATTTTTTTCTCTAGTATAAAAATGGAAAGTTTATTCAAAATAATTATATGTCTATGTGAAAAACAAAAGAATCGATGTTTTTATTAGCTTTTTTTTTGTCGAAATTACCGTCTAGATAATAATATAGCCTGTTTGGAGTGTCAATAGCCTGAAGCTAATCATGCATTATTAAATTTGTATACGTTAATATTATCGTATACTTACGTTCCTCGTTCGTCCCGGACCCTGAACCCATTATTACCAGGAGATTTTGAACTCCCAGCGTAGAAAAATGCAGCTGAAAATAAAATTTTTTATCATTAATTTTGTTCAATAGAAAATTTGTAAATGAAAAAAAAAAAAATTCTACCATCGTACACATTGTTTTAAATTCATTATAATTTCAGTAGAAAAAAAATTTTACTCTCCCGGCTTTTTTCAAATACTATAATAAAAATGATAATTAAGTAATAAAACTGATTAAAACAAACTGAACAATCTCGTTTTTTTGCAATAATTACAAAAATCAATTAACTAAGAAATAAAATGACAAAAAATTGTTTTGATTTTGTACTCTATAATTAAATATTTACTGATTTGATCTTGCTAGGTCAGGGAAAGTTTGAATGTCAAGTTTCCTCTCTTTTCTCTCATTTTTCTTCCTCGTGTTGGTTTTTTTTTTTTTTTTTTTTTCTTTGCAATGAAATAGAAATTGTTCATAAGCTACTGTTGAAAGTTATCGTTCTGGAATTTAACGATATTTTTCTTTCATCATCATTCACGTTCCAGATTTCTTCTAATCGTAAAATATATTTGTAGGAAAAAAAAGGCCGACTTACCGGGACCTTCACCATCATAATTGAAGCCTTTGATAAAGAGGGTTCTTCCATCAACGGCATAGATTTCACCACTGACACCATGATGAAGTTCAGATAATCTCCCTAATTGTTTTCCATAATAAGCCGCATTGCAAATCTCTGCAAAATTAATAACAAATAATTATTAATTTTTTATACAGTATTAAAATTTATACAATATAATTCTTTTAACATAAATTTTTTTTCCGACAAAATATCTATTTGTCAAAAAAAAAATTATAGTACAATTTAAAAAATAAAAATTTTCTCTTGTCTATTTAATTCTATTTCTGGATGAAAAAAAAAAAAACTATATATATCTTCGTTGAAAGAGAAGAAACAAATATTTTATTTCTGTTAAAAAAATATTCAATATTCGTTGAATTAATAATTTTTATCAATTATGTAATAAATTTTTCATCTAAAAAGCAAAGCCAAACGAAAGTCAAGAAACTTTTGAATGAAAATCTGGGTCAATAGTGACGTCAACATTATAAGATAAATTTATGTGTCAACTCCTTATATGAAAACTTAATTAAAAATAGTTTATAGTTCCATCAAAGTCTGGATCATGGGTTCGAGACGATAAAGTGGCTGAAGACATTGCATTAGTTGCACGCTTGCACTTCCAAGAGAGATAATGACCGTTATGCATATGCATCGCACCTTAAATCCTTGCATCCTTACAAGATTGCAAATCCCTTGAATCTAGAATCCCTTCTCTCTTCATTTTTTTTTCTTATTTTCATTTTTAATATTAAAATGCACCAAATTCATCAATGTGGTTCGATTTTTAATTTTTTATAAAATAGTGTCTTAAAATTGACCACGAAAATGTCTCAAACATAGACGACCAGTGAATGTTTCTTTTTTCTCCAAAATTCACAATATTAGGCCTAGGACCAACTTTAAGGAGCAAAAAAAATTCTATTCAATTTAAAATATAAATATTTTTCCTTAGGAATTAAAATTTCCAAAAATTTCATTTTCAAACCTTCTGAAATTTAATTAATTACAAAAATTACAACTATAATTCTTCCAAAAAATGAAAACTATTTTTTAGAATCTTTAATGAAAACTATTTAGAAACTAGACAATTTTATAAAATAAATATTTAAATATCAAATATTCAAAGCAATTAAAATTTTTATAACTTTCAACTAGAAACTTTTTGAAATTTGATTATTTAAAAATACTATTTGAACTGGCAAATGATACGCGTGCCATCGCGTGGAACGCGGTCTTCCATTTCTTATTATTTTCTAAATTAAAAAATTTTATATTTTCAAGAATTGTAATATAAATTCAATTATTTTCTAAATGATAAAATTTTTTTTTTTTAAAATAATTATTTTCTAAATTTTTAATAAAATTTTTTCAAAAAATTCAATTATTTTCAAAAATTGAGATAAAATCCTTCAAAACAATTTAATTATTTTTATGAATTGTCAAAATCCTCCTCAAGAATTAAATTATTTTCATAAATAATAAATTGTTTAGGATAAATTCAATTATTTTCAATACAATTTTAATAAAATTTCTCGAAAGAATACAATTATTTTTAAAAATATTATTTAAATTCAATTATTTTCAACAATTCTGATAAAATTCTTCGAAACAATTCAATTATTTTTATAAATTGTAAAATTCTTATAGTAAAAATTCAATTATTCTTGTAAATAATTAAATTCTCTTAAGAAATTCAATTATTTTCAATACAATTTTAATAAAATTTCTTGGAAAAAATTCAATTATATTCAATACAATTTTAATAAAATTTCTCGAAAGAATACAATTATTTTTCAAAATATTATTTTAATTCAATTATTTTCAAGAGCTTTAATAAAAATTCAATTATTTTCAACAATTCTGATAAAATTCTTCGAAATAATTCCATTATTTTCATAAATGATAAAATATTCTTCGGAGAAATTCAATAATTTTCAATAAAATTTTAATAAAATTTCTTGGGAAAAATTCAATTAGTTTCAGTTAATTTTAATAAAATTTCTCGAAAAAAATACAATTATTTTTAAAAACATTATTTAAATTAAATTATTTTTAAGAGTTTTAATAAAAATTCAATTATTTTTATAAATTGTAAAATTCTTAGCAAAAATTCAATTATTCTTGTAAATAATGAAATTCTCTTAAGAAATTCAATTACTTTCAACAATTCTGATAAAATTCCTAAAAACAATTTAATTGTTTTTAAAAATTGTAAAATTCTTGGCAGGAATTCAATTATTTTTGTAAATAATAAAATTCTTCTGAGAAATGAAATTATTTTCAATAAAATTTTAATTTAATTTCTTGGATAAAATTCAATTACATTCAAGTTGATTTTAATAAAATTTCTCTAACAGAGATTCAATTTTTTTAAAAATTGTAATAAAATTCTTTGTAATTTTCTATTATTTTCAAAATTTTGAATTAAAATTACTTCAAAAAATTACATTACTTTTACGAAATTTAATTAAATTATTCAAAAAAAAAAAAAATGTAATTGTTTACAAAAACTCTAATACAATTGTTTAAAAGAATTTAATTTTTCTATGAATAATTTTAATATAATAATTTAATAAGAAAATCGTTAATTACAATTAATAACAAACACGATTATTTTAATAACTTAAAAGAAAATCTTCATAAAGATTTTTACAGTAAAAATTATTTAAAAAACTCCATTATTTTCAAGAAAATTGAAATAAACTCTTCAAAACAATTCAATTATTTTAAAGAATTTTAATAAAAATTTTGCCAAGAAATAAATTATTTTGAATACAATAATTTTAATTACATTTTCTCAAAAAAATCCAATTATTGAAAAAAATGTTGATAAAATTCTTGAGATGAATTCAATTGTTTTCAAATTTTTTTTACAGATACTTCACAAGAATTCAGTGATTTTCAGTACATGGACAATTTAATTGTTTCTGCAAATAATTGAAAATTCTTTAATAAAATTTTATTTAAACTTTTTTAAATAATTGAATTCTTACGAAGAATTTAAAAATAATTTAATTGTCCTTGGAATTCAATTAAAATTGTATTTAAAATAATTTGAATTCTTATGAAGAATTTTATCAAAATTTTTGAAAATAACTGAATTCTTTAGAAAAATTTCATTAAAATTGTATTAACATTTAAAAATAATTGAATTGTCGAGAGCAATGTTATTATTTATGAAAATAATTGAATTCTGGCGAAGAATTTTATTAAATTCTAACTATTTCCAAAAATTTCAACTAATTTTTCATTGTGCTTGAAAGTTCTTAAGATAAAAAAGAAAATTCAAAGACAATGTCAGGTTTCTACTCAATATTTTCAAAGAACATCAAAAACCAGAATTTTCGTAGTATTTCCAGAAATTTGATATTTTTTTACTACTTTAGATAAAATTTCCTCACTTCCCTTATTCCCCAGACCTATGACAACTCTCTTATTGTCGAAGTTGATAAAAATGTATTAAAACGAAAAATAACTCAAAAATATCTAATATCAAATTTTTTTTTTAAATAAACCAATAAACCTCGCACTTTTTGAAAAAATAGTAGAAAAAAGTGGTGAAAATTCATAGGATCCGAAAGAAAGCTGAAATATTTACTTATTCCTGATTCTATATATGCACAAAACTAATTAAACCGGTATTAGTCTATGTGGGTCTGTTACGTTAGATTGGAATAAATTGGTGCGTCGTATATATATTGATAATCGACTTTGTTCCGTCTCAAGACAGCCTTGTATGGCGGTTAACGGTAGAAATTCCATTTCCACGATGAACATCAATCCATGTGCATGTTCTGCAAATCGTAGCATGCAAAACTAGGTTCCTTGAATGCTTCGCCCCCTCCGGATTGATCCACCGTATGGCATGTAGGGCAGAACGTTGTACCCGCTCAGAAATATATATATATTAAAGGGAAATATATGTAGAATAATCCTCTCATTCAAAAAAAAAGAAAAAGATCCACGGAAACTTCAAGTCAATCACAAATTTTGGTCCACTCACAATATTTTTCATCTGAAAATTTATTCATGGCAAATGTTACTTATATCGAAACTCTCACTTTTTCGTTTCTCGTAATGAGAAAATAATATTTTAGTTATAATATTATTAATAAAATACTGATTAAATATTAATAATTTACTAATACTTTTAACTATATTAAAAAAATATTACTTTTAGATATCGATTAATTTTATTATCATTCATAATTGAACATTAAAAATTTAATAAATTTATTGATAGGACAGACAATTTTTTAAAAATATTTTAAATGGATAAAATTTTGATTCATTGAAATTTAGATTCCTTGAAAAACGGAGCAATTTTTGACCCCTAAAGTATACTGGAAATTTAAATTAACGAAATTTATTTCTTTCTTTTTCAGCTTCAAATTAAAATTAAATGATTTTCTGGTCGAAATTTTATTTTTTCTAATTTTTATTCATAAAAAAATGTAAATTAAAAAATTTTCTAATCTTCAATCATGCAGAGAAAAATATAAATTAATCCAAATCTCAATAAATACAAATTTATTCAATTTTCAATTAAAAAAAATATTACGCCACGTTTTAAAAAAATAATTAAATTATTTAATTATTATTAATTAAAAAATAATAAACTTTAAAAATGTTTAATTTAGACTTGTGTTAAATTTTTTGTTATTGCAATCTTACTTTTCTTTTAAAAATTTAATGAATTTTATTACATCCCAACTAAATTGCAGTACCAAAAAAATCAGTCACAAATAATTCGAAATTACAGGTAAAATATTCTCTAAAAGTAAAAAGAAATATTAAAAAAAATAGGTACTAAACTTTACTATTAAAAATTTTTAATTTTAAAATAACTATTACTGTTTCCAAAGAAAATTTATTTTATAAAGATTTCGAAAATTTTGCTTCAAAATTGGTAATATTTATTTCGGAAAAATAATGATTCACTCTAAAAATGATTAGATACTAAAAAAATTGTTCTATTACATTTATTTACGAATTTTTTTATTTATGAAATTATTCCAAAACAGCAATAACTTTTTTTCCAATAAATATTTAATAATCATTATTATTTTTACAAAGCAAATAAGATTTTTCAAAATGTTTCTTCATAATTT